CTCCATACACTAGTCGTTTAAAACTTATTAATCTACCTACACTTTCTAGTCGTAGGGAAATGTTTGGCATAACATTCTTAGTGAAACTTTTGAATGGAACTGTTTGCAGTTCTTTTCTCCTGTTTGAAATTAAATTTAATATCCCGGTTCGCCTTTCGAGGCAGTTTAGACCTTTACTGCTAAAATCCTGTAGATCAAATTTTGAACTAAACGAGCCATTCCGCCGTATATGTCATGATTTTAATTCTCATTCCAGCACATTTGACTTATCTGACTCACTTTCCAAAATTAAAAAGACTTTATTGTTTTCTCTTAGTAAATGAAAATGTAACAATTTATTATATTGTAACTTTAGATCTTAGCTGTTGAAATTTTTGTTTCTGTAGCCTGCAAATGGTGTACTGTTGACCTTATACAGTAGCCATACTCTCTGCAATTTATAGACAAAGCACTCTTAATTCATTTGTACTAAACAATAAGCAAAAGAAATTGAACGTTTGTTTATTTTAAGTTAACTAGCTACAATGGCAATGAAATAAAAAAATAGTAGCCAGTTATCATTAAATTATTCATAATTTAAAATTTTTATAATGCCGATATATTGGCCATAATAATGTTTTGGGACATATGCTCAATACCCGGTTAATATTATCCTTAACCGCTGGTAGCTTAAGTGGGCTTTTACACACAGACTCTTTGACCCTCGTTTTCGGCAAATTCTCTTTTGGTGTCGCTCTGTGCATTCACAAGAGCAAAAAGAGTCCAGCAACTTAAACCGAGTTTTTCTGTCATTCCTTTACATAAAATTTTCGAAAATATTTGTGCGGTTCGACTGCGCAACACTTAGAGCGTGTTGTATATTTCATTTGTATTTGTCTATTATATTATCTATGTTATTAAAAATGTAAATTTAATATTTTTGAGTATCTTAATTTTCTATTATTCTATGCATATATATTTACATATTACATACAAAAATAGATAACAGAACTCAAATTTGCGATCGAATTCATTTGAAACCGAGCGCTCTTGCAACCATGCAAAGAAATTGAAAGTGAAAAGGAATGCTGAAAAGGGTCGCAGCGAGCTGTTACGAACAAGAACGCAGAGCGTGTCCCCCGAAAGCGAGTGGCACGGTCCCTTCGTCTTTCCTCGTCGTCCCCTCGCCAACAAAAAACCGGTTTGGGTTACAAAAGAGTCCCAATGTAAACACACTATTACCTTACGTGAATGCTTGGGGCAAACATTTCACAAAACTTGTCTGTGAACACGCAAAACTTTGTAAACATCATGAGGCATGTAAGTGCATGTTCAGACAAGGACTCGTTTTGTCGCCCAAACGGTTTTCGTATTCGTGGGGAGACGAGGAAGCAGTGCCTTTCGTATTATTTTCCATAACACCTCGCTGCTACGCAGTTCGGTATTCCTTTTCATTTTGAAATTCTTCCGTGGTTGCACCAGCGTTCGGTTTGAAAGAAGTATTTACAAAATGTTCAAAAATTTATTTTAATTTTTTTTTTAGATTTTACAGCTGAAATCTGTCATTTCATGTTCTGGTTAAAAACTAACCAAGACTACTTCTTTCGATAAAGTTTACCAGATCACACAGATGGTTGCCAAACAGATATTGAGAAAAACATTTTTCAACATGTTGCCGATAAAGTTCTGGTTAAGAGCTTAACCATAAATTAAGAAAAAGGTCCTTAATATTTTTTATTTGAGGGTTAAATTCAATGAATTGTTGTATTAAATGCATATTTTAAACAATACGTCCTACATCTCTAGTAAGTGTTGTAGCCATTTATTCATAATTGGAAATATTGTGAGCACATCTCCAGGTTTTTACGTATACAATCTAAATTCCTGGTATAACACTCTCGTAACTTTTTTGTGGTAAATGACTCTCCGCCGTTTGCCCATTAGAGTCACTTACAATAACTTGACCGCTTAGGACGTACAAATACACTCTTCTTATTTTTATAACGAACAGGAACGTCAACGGCGATACAAATAAAATTACTTATCTTAATAATTTTATATATTTTATAAATTTTGTTTGTATACTTAGATACAGTCATCAGGCCAACATTATTTTTCGGATTCAAGCGAATTTTTCTTATTCAAACAAGGTCAATACCATCCTTTTGAAAATCCAAAGTGTCGGGAATCATCATTCCTATCGCTATTGCCGAAACAATAAAACCGCTTTGTAATACACAGGCAGATAAAGCAGCAATCAAAAATTTACATTGGCGGAGCTAAAGATAAACCTTTAACAAACAAGTTAAATATTAAAACAAATAGTTCTAAGTCCTTCAAATAAAAAATGAATATATCACTTTTTATATTTTTATTTCTTTGAATTTTCACTTTGCTCTACCATTCAGTTTAACAGTGACTAAAGTAGTGACGTAGTACGGAATTATATGAAGGACGGAATACGGAATTAAAACAGCCTGGAAAGCTAGGCGATTGAAGTGAAACTTCATGGATCATGATGGGCACTTGAAATGAAAGTACTCACCTTAGCCTTTTATGAGATAGAAAAATTTTCATTCACTTCCATACTTTCACGTTCAAGAAAAGATACAATTGGTTTGTGGTATGAAAAATATGAATTGAAAACTCGTGATTGTGAATTTTGTGTATATATTTTGAGAAAATTTTATCTATTGTCGTGCCTGGTCTGGTTGTCTTTGGAATTATTATTCATTTTAAAATTAAATTTATTTTCTAAAAATTGTACAAGTTGTTGAGCTACTTCCAAAGCAAAATTGACATTGAAATCACCGCTTAAAATCATTCGAATACTGTGCAAATCTTCTCCTAATTCTGCTGCACTGGCAGCAGAGAATGTTCGTAAATAGAGAAGGCGCAAATGTTAGTTGAGCTAAAATGTAAATTATTAAAAGAGAACATCGAAAATGCGGAAATTCGAAAATTAAATTAACCACGTCAAAAAGGAACCCTCCCCTCTTTATATGCGAACTCAAAAAACTAGACCACACTAAGAAGGTACCTAGCAAATGTACACCACCTTATAAAAGAACGGCTAATATATGTATGTGCAGATGTTCTTTGGCATGTGTATTAGGGAAAATTAGTGTAACAAAAAGAAATAATAAATTTAGAAAAACATTTATATAATGAGGGAAAAATTAAAATTAAATTAAAAGAAATTTAATAAAAAAGGTTTATAAAAATTAATTAGTACTTCTCAACATTTGCGCTTTCTCTATTTATTAACATTTTCTGACAAGAGGGAACATCGACAAATACAACTTCAAATACAATAAGAATGTTCTTACATGAATTATGCGCTTGCTGATTTACAAAAAATCATAATTTTTGTAATTTAAAATAATCCTTCAAATTAAATAGAAGGAATATTGGTTAAAGCCTCAGAATTTACAATAATATAAGTAATTAAGAGATAAATTCTACAACATATTTTTCTGCGTTGCATGAACATTATCTAATAAAAAAAGGATAACAATAAAACAGTAGGTAGGTGGCAGGTTAAGCCATCACGAATACAAACGCTTGCGCTCGAATCCTGCAAATCATAAATCTTATTATTTTAATTTTTATTTTATTATTTAACATTTTAGCTGATCTCAATTCGAGGTATCTGAATTAATAGCATATTTTACTCACTGAGATAATTAGAATATTTCAGTAAAATATGGTCATATGTTTAGGTTTATTGAATATTGCCTTATTGATGCGAATTTATATAAAATTACTTTTGTCCACACTTTTTGCTTTTTCCGAGAACAGCTAGAACGAAGCAAGTTGAACGATCGCAAGCAATGAGGAGTGGGAGGGTGCACTACCACATAATTATTTCAGATCTATTTTTAATAATCGAGTTTATTTTGAAAACGTTTAAATAAGTATGAATTTATGTGTATTGATATTTTTACGTAAATATTATAATATTCTGTAAATTAACCCTAAGATATCAGTATTTTTCTTTACAAATTAAGCAATAAAATAATATGATATAAATGCTCCGTTGAAACGCCTCTGGCCATGGAAGTTACGGCGAGTTTTCGTGGAGACGGGGCGGAGCAAAAAATTGAGTTCTGACAAAACGTTGAAAAAAACCAAAAGACAACTTTGCCGGCAAACATAACCGAATTTTGCGCATCGTTGCGGTGTTGACAAAATTTGTTTGAATCCACAAATTTTGCAACACTGTCGGTCGGCTATGTTGTCACGTTTGTCCTTTTTGCAGTGCTTTGCTATTGAAATTTGGCCTTTGCTCTTTTGAAATACTACGGCTACCGCTTGGGCTGCCGTTTCATAGCGTCGTATTTAGATAAAATGGGCTAAATCGAAAAACTATGAAAGAATGATAATACGTAAACTTATATAAGTACTATATGGAGTGTGCTTAGAACATATAAAAGTAAATAAAGATTTCATATGAATGTCAATTGTATATAAATTTTATAAAATAATGTCATATATATTGCATAATATGAAATAAATTTTAATAAAATTTTTAAATCGCTAATAGGTCATGTTGCCGATTCTCTTTTCTGAAGAGAACATAACACAAATTCTTCAATTTCTGATTTCTAGCATCGTCGTGAGGAAGCAGCTTGTGGGCAATATACAAATACGAGGGGGAATGGTAGGATCAGTTGTAAAATTGAAATTTTGCTGATTTTTAAATTCTACTGAAGACATTCGAAATAATGTTTATTAATTTTTATTTAAATTTCATAATCGTGCATTTGTGGTAGGAATTCCATATGAAAACCAAATTTGGTTGACCAGGCGCACAGAAAACAGAGCGCAGTGCAGAGCTATAAACGATCGCACTTCGTTTTGTAGCATATGCGTTCCTTATGAATGAATTTGTTGGCGTTGTAATATGAAATATGTAGAAAATATAGCGCAAGCTTGCTCGAATCTTATTGGTCGATGATGGTGCGTCTGCGTTTTTTTTTTGTCGCTTGCGCGAATGTTAGATTTTTTTTACAAAAGGCATATTGAGGAACATACATACATATGTGTATACATATGCAAATATATGTGGGCATGCGAATGGAGAAAAGGCAAAACTGTGGTGCTGCTTGTATAGCACAGCTCGTTCTTGCAAATGCACATCAAATATTTTTCTGAGTTCAAATCTTAGCACAGATGTAGTTTTATTCCTTTTTTAATTTTTATAAACCATCTTTATTAAATTTATTTTTATTTAATCTTCATTTTTTCCTCATTATAGAAGTGTTCTTCAAAACCTATTATTTCTTTTTGTTATTCTAATTTTCCCTAACACGCATGCCAAAGAACATCTGCACATACATATATTAGCCGTTCCTTTATAAGGTAGTGAAAGTTTGCTAGGCACCCTTTTAGAGTGGTGTATTTTTTAAGTTCGATTATAAAGAGGAGAGTTCCTTTTTGACGTGGTGTCATTTAATTTTCGAATTTACGATGTTCTCTTTTAATAATTTACATTTTAGCGCAGCTTACATTTGCGCCTTCTCTATTTATTAACATTCTCTGCCTTAACAATAACATTAACATTTCCTGTCGCTTTTTCGTTTCATTTAATACTGAAATGACAGGTCAACGAGCACAAAGAAGTTTCACTTAAAAAAAAAATTAAATCAAGAAAGAAGTTCCGTTATGTCTCCGCTGCTTCCTTTGCCTACACATGATAAGGTAAAAGTCCCAATTTAATGGCTATACACTTATCTTTATTTCTAATTTAAACAACTTAACACTTATTACTCGTTATTGGAGTTTACAACGTATTGCTTATAGATCTTTACTAAGCAGCAATCTATGTTAATTTGAACTGTTTCTGCTGCACAATCCGACAGCCCTTATATAGTATATTATTAACAAATCTTCGCCACTTGCTAGAGTCAGACCCATTTAACTGCAGATGCCCCTCTCTAATGTGATCCTGTGTACCAAATAACAGTCTTATATCTTATTGCGAAGCTTAGTTATGGCAATTTATTTGTTTTTGATTAATGGCGTTTTGTGGGCTTGGCAGTGGTCCGATTACGCCCATCTGCAATACCAACCGTCTCACGGTACCAAGAAACATGTCTACCAAGTTTCATAAAGATATCTCAATTTTTAATCAAGTTACAGCTTGCACGGACGGACAGACGGACGGACGGACAGACAGTCACCCGGATTTCAACTCATCTCTTCATCCTGATCATTTATATATATATAACCCATATCTAACTCGATTAGTTTTAGGTGGTACAAACAACTGTTAGGTGAACAAAACTCATATACTCTGTAGCAACAGGTTGCGAGAGTATAAAAATAATTATTCAAAGTACAATAGCATGGTATTTAAATAATTAATGTATATGGTAGTAATTAATCTCAAAATTAATGGTCATCAGGTCCATTTATAAGTCCCATTTCTGGCTGCGGGTAAAGGTTTCGTCAACACATCGGCAAGCAGAGATTTTGCGGAAATATTCCCAATGATTATTAACTTCTTGATAACTGTTCAGATTCAATCACGAGTAAAATTATATTTAATATCAATATGTTTCTTAATGTTAAACTTACTTCCTCTCAATAAAGGGTTCAACCACATAGCTTCCTTAACTGCTTCAAATAGAGCCATATATTCTGCTTCTGTATATGAAGCAGTAACTGAACTCTGTTTTTGTGAACAACAACAACGAATTAAACAGGAATCAATCAATCTTTCAGCCCAATCGGATATCTCAAAACTCGTTTAAGGCTTTGTCATAAATCTTTATTGTTGTTGTTTATGTATCTACATAGAATACTTATTGCTGTACACAAATCAGGGCGTGTGCACAACAAACGATACATGAAACAACCCATTAAGTTTCGGAATGGAGCATCATATGTTATTTTTAAAATTAAAGCCTCAAAATCCAACTGACTTTCAAGTAGGGTACTAATAAAATTACGCTCACTCATATTGAATTTGTTTAATATATTCTTAATATGTGATGATTGACTAATGTATAACATATTATCGCGTCTTTAAATTTTTATTCTAATAAATTGTTTAATTTCTAATAAATCAGTCATTCTAAATTTACTCCTAAAATATGATTTAAACTTGCACATGGCCTTAAAATTATCTGTAGAAGCCTTAGGTATCAGCTGTTTGAGCTTGTCTAGAATGTAGACGCAATGGTATACCTGTAAGTTTTCAAAACCAATTTGTTTTCTAGTTTGTTCCAATATTGTAGGTACTTCGGACCAACATTGTGATGCTTTGCTTAAGGCCATAAATGGCTTTATTTAATTTACAGATCTTATTTTCATTATGTACATTTAAAATGCATTATTTAAACACTTATAAGATCTTTAAGGATTCACTACGTCTGATATCATTTTTAAATTTTAATTTAATTTAATTTAAATCTGAACTAAAGGATTCAGAATCAATTGACAATTTACTACAGTTATGATTCTTTCACCCGACTGCATTTATTATTTTGATTTATCAGATTCATCATCCATACTTCCAGTATGGATATCCGCAAATACATCTTCCTATTTCCTCATTCTGGAAATCCACAAATATATCTTCTGTATTCTCATTCTGGAAATATTCGTCCCTTAATACATTACTTAGGTATTTATTAATCATATATTTCGCAAGTATATAAAAAACGCATCAACACACTCATGTACGCGTCACACACATATGAACACAAACAATTTTATTATTTCTGTCAGTCGTTCAAATAAAACCCTAAATGTATATTTCTCTTTTTATATTTGTATTTTTTTGAATTTTCACTTTGCTGTACCATTCAGTTTAATAGTCACGAAAGAAGTGAAGTAATACGGAATTACCTGAAGCGTATGAATATACAAAAGAAAATTAAACCAAGAAAGAATACTCGTTAATCCTCAATGCTGCTTTTATTTACACATGATTAGGTCACAATATATACGCAACAATGTTGCCATCAATAATCATGTGTTCGCAGCATTAAATACCAAAGTAAATAGGGATTTCCGTTTTGCTTGAACATATTGTAACAGATTTCCCGATAAATCGTCTATTTTGTAACTCACTCTTGAGTTCGATCACTGTATTGTTAAATAAAAGTATCAAATTAATGGCTATACACTTATCTATATCTTTCTAATTCGAGCAACTTTACAACTTTTTACTTACATCTTAATTGCTCTTTACACGGCAGCACTCTAATTATCTTGTCATTCGTTTCAGTTTTAATTTTACCCTGCTTTTTCACCTGTGCTGGTATACACGCTTTCTGCTCTTTCAAATTTAAGGAAACTTGTGCTGATATACGTGCATCTTACGCTGCGAAATGCGCCTATAACTGCGTTGACAGCCGCGTATCCAACTGCGTCAACATTTGTGATGACGCCATTTGTGAGGTAAACGCTTGCAAGGCAGCCAAAATAACATCTGTTGAACATTGAGTCTCTTCGTTTTCTTGACTTCTTTATTTCTAATCCAAACAACTTAATGCTTTTCTACTGATTATCCGAAATTACACCTTCTTACTTATATCTTGATTGCTCTTTACACCGCACACTCTAATTAGAACTGTCCCTGCTACACAATCCGGCAGCCCTTATATAGTAGATTGTTACCAAAACATCGCCACTCGAACATTCTGGCAACTACGAATTTCGCTATCTACAATAGTTTGTTCTGTCATCCGTGTTTGTCTCATTATTAAAAAAATTTGTGTTTTATATGAGTGCCTATACAATTTATCATCACCGGATTACAAAATTGTGTTTAAAAAAACCCAAATTTGGGAAGAAGTAGCAAAAATAATAAATTTGCCAGGTGAGTCAAAGAAAAGCCTGTTTTATTATAAACTTTATTCTAAAGTATTATAAATATTTGCAGAAGACAATTGTAGGAAAAGATGGAAAGGACTGCGTGGCACGTACAAAAAACGTAAACGCGCGCAGCTACTGACTTCCGGCAGTGGTGCTCCGATTCCATGCAAAACATGGAAATATATGAAAACATTAAATTTTTTGGACGGCTACATTGATTCTCGAGAGTAAATATTACATTTGTCATATTTGTATTCTTATAATTCAATCTTTTCCACTTAATAGAACCATCGGCAATGTGCCTTTTGACGCAATTATGGAAGAAATAGAGTGTTCTACTTCAACAAGTACAAGTACAAGTCCTCCTCCAGAAGGTTATTACACTCCTCCAAATGCGCCAAAACAAAAAAAAAAGGAAGGCAGAAAGGGATGACGTTAACGATGTGTTCACTGACATGATGAAGGAGTGCGTGGATACAGTGAGAGTTTGCAGCCGTTCAAACAGAACACGAGGAAGCAACGTCACTGTTATTTAAATGCTTGGCGAGGAACATAAGTGAGGCTAACCTAACCCCTCAACGCATACGACAAATTGAAGCGAAAGTAGTAGCCTTAGTGTATAGTGAATTAGGAAACTAGAAATTACATGTATTTGACTGAAATAATCTTTATGTATTATTTTTTTAATTTTCTTCTTATGAATTGTTTTTTGTTACACTGTAGTGCAATTGTTATTTTTGAAATAAGAACGCTTGTTGTTATTTTATATGAATTTTACTGAAAAAAAAGAAATTTAATAAAAATTAATAAAATTTCAAGAAATACTGGCTTAATTATAAAATAAATACTCCGCCAATTCGTCTCTCGATGCAAACGCCTCCGTCGTTGAACGGTTGGCTTGCGAAATTCGAAAAGTTGGACTTTGCGAAGTTGTTTGCCTCCAAATTCCAGGAACGAAAGCACCATTTTCCGAATGGTCCACCAACTCTTCAGTAAAATATTCCGAGCTCCTGTCTAGCATGAGATAATTATGTAGCACATCTGTTGCACTTTTTTGTCAATATTTTTTGGTGCTGCATGTATATTGCTATGTAATATTCTCCACCTATTCGCTAATACACCTAACGCATTTTCGATGTAGAATCCCACAAAGAAATACTAAGAACTAAGAAGTTTTTATTTGTACCTAAATAAGGAAAGTATTTGTAATCATAAAAAATTAAGTTATTTCCAAAATTCAGATTATTTAATTACCCGGAAGGTGATCGAAAGGAGGCAATACGATGTTTCCTCTTACTATCATTTTCCCAAAAGCACTTTTGGCGAAAATTCCGCCATCGCTTTGACTTCCTACTGCCCCAACATCAACAAAAGTAAATGTATAGTGGAGTCACAAGCTGCCATTAGAAGAATGCTGAATGTTTTTTTGTAATTATAAAAAAGTGAACCACTACGTCTCGGTCAAACTTTGTTAATATGTTTGCCATCAATAGCACCTAGGCAGTGCGGCATTCTGGTTTTTATATAAAATCTACAAATAAAAAAAAATTTCATTTATAGAACCAATTTTTATTATTTATTAAAAATGTAAACCCCACCTTTCAGAAATGTTTTTCCATTCGGATTGGTTTGGTTGAGCAACATAAACTGTGTGTAATTCATTCCAAATTGCAGCGCAAGTTTCGTAAATAATTTTCCTCACCGTTGAAAGTCCAATTTTGTGAGACCATGCCAGAACTTTAAGACAGCATCCTTGAGATAAATACCTAAATATAACTTCCTGTTATTTACAATTCTAATATAAATTATAAATATTAATTACATCAATGTAATTCCCAAACGTGTTTCTTCATTTATCGGTTCTCTTCTCGAACACCGATGGAGCTTGTCTTTTAATAAACAAAGAAGAGCATTAAATTTGTGACAAATCATCCTTGTTGCTTGGAAAAAGTGCTCTTTATCCATAGATTTCAGCGGTTTAAAACAAGTATCATGAAACCCTAATTCCTTTCTTGTTAAATTCACGGGTCGTATCCACCATCTTCTTCTTGAACGCGATTTAAAATCTATGTATATCTTACACATGTTTAACATTATATTTAACATTTTTAAAATTTGCATTAATCGAAAAATACGCGGATTCATATTTTTTTAGACTCCCAAGCACTGACAGTTGCGGCGAAAATCGTCCGTATTGTGTTTTACACGGAGGCAACACTCGTCGAAAATCCGTCCGACGGCATCGCCGAGTACGACGAATATTCGCCGTCGCCCATATTGTGTTTATGCTATTATTCTTTCACTTTCCACTGCAATGCAGGCAACAATCGGGGTAAAACTTTGCGTGAATAATGCGTTTAAAGTATTCCACCTTGCGAGCAGAAATTTTCTAAATCGAACCAAAACTGTATAAGCCACTAGGTATTGAATATGTGGACCCCAATGCCTATAGTTGACTTTTTACCGAAAATATTCGTCAATGTGTAAAATACAGTACAGGAATGTTTATAATACTTTATAAATTTATTAACTATATTTCCAATTACAACGTCAATGTTTTTGAAGAATAAGTCAAATACGACGAAATGTTTTATGCTCTCATCACATCTGTGTTAAATTTTGCTTTCTGGTTGATGTTGGGTTGAACAAATTTGTTTTGTACGGTTTTGAAAATCAATAATGTATAAATCAGTTCATACATATACTTTCATTTTCACAGTGTGGGATAGGAATGGCTGGGTAACCTTTCACACCAAATTTGGTTGATTTGTAATCGGTCAAATAGTTCCTGAGGTATATGATTTCACTTAAAGGTGGGCAGTGCCACGCCCAAGACTCAATTATTATGCCTACTCTTATGAAGCCGGTGATGAAATTTAATGCTGGTGGCGTATTTATTCAGTAAGTTGCTTTGAGTAGTTTTCAACAAAACCTTAATATGAGGATGTGGAGTGTATGGGAAATAATAAAAATATTTTTGCTGTGATTCCTGGTACTAACTTACAGTTTTGTGCCTTAGTTTGGTGCTTAGTTTTGGCACTTTATATAGTTTCGCTTAACGGCACTTTGTGGCCGTGGCAATGGATCTATTCCACCTATCTGCAATACCAACCCCCCTTGGGTGCCAAGGAACACGTGTACGAAATTTTATTAAGATATCTTAAGTTTTACTCAAGTTATCGCTTGCACAGACGAACAAACAGACAGTCATTTATATGTTCATAACTATTTATTTATCTCGATTAGTTTTAATTGGTACAAACGACCATTAGATGAACATAACTATCATGCTCTTTGTTGCAATATGTTGAGAGAGTATAAAAAAATATTTGAAAGAAACACTAAATAATACCATTATGACTACTAAAATATATTCGCGAAAAACTGTTTGTATTTTTGGTAAATTAACACATGTTCAATTGCGATTGATGCGTTCAATTCAATCCATTTTTTCGATCTTCTTAACGTAACACGTCCTGCCGTGAAATGAGTAAAATGAGTGCTCCGTATAAATAACGGTTTGAAGCAGCTTTTCTAACGAAGCATTCTAAAGATCCCAAATGACCTATTAAACATGAAAAAAGTAAACTTCGGTTGCACCGAAGCTATAATACCCTTCATAAATACAAAGGCTCCTTACAAGAACTTGATTCGGATCATTCAATTTGTATGGCAGCTATATGATGTAGTGTTCTGATCTGAACAATTTCTGCGGAGAATACATTGTTGCCTTAAACAATAACTCGTGACTAATTTCGTGAAGATACCTCGTCAAATGAGAGAGTTTTCCTTACAAGTACTTGATTCTGATTATTCAGCCAACCCGTTAGAAACAAGGAAAATTATTCATATAATTTTGCGTTCAGAGCCAAATAAAACAAAAATTATTACGATATAGGAATACAATTTTTGTAGAATATTTATTTGAAATATTCTATTTTCATAAACTTGAGAAAAACTTAAATTTTTTTAGTATTTGGTTGACAAACCTTTATTTTTAATAACTGCCTTCACTCTTTTAGGCATATTATATTATACTTAATAAATTCTTTAGAAATAATATAAATTTCAAGTACTTACCTCTTTTTAACCGCTTTTGGATTCTTTAAAAAAAATAAAATAATATAATATTTAGAAACCATATCATCAAAAAAATTTTCCCAATAATGCCAGCCATTATTAACGAAAAATGTTATATTTTTATGTATGTTTTTTTACGCATTAAAAAAACATGTATGATGAATGTTGCTGCTCTCATCACAAATATTTGAGTTAAAAAAAAAATGGTGAAACGTTACAAATTGTAAACGTTGTGAATTGGTAGGGTATATTTTCAATTGCTTTGCAGAGATACCAACTGCTGCTTGGGGACTGCTACAAGTTAACCCAAAATGAGGGCAGTCAAATTCCACAGTCTGTATTGTCTGCTTAAACGCTGAACCTAGTAACCCCATCCCAAAAACATAAGTCGTGGGATTCGCTGACTCGCCACACTCCCAGCGACTACGGCTGGTAGCTACAGAGAGAGCACCGACGGTAGCGTAGGTTAAGTTATAGCTGTAAGTGAAATGTAAGTTGAGTTCTAACAGACTCAGAAGTGCATTACAAAAAACCTGTCACCAAACGTGAGTATGAAAAAATCGTCTAAATAAAAATCATATAAGGACGCCATTCCACGATATAATGGACTATTCTACAGCCGTAAAACTGTAAGGAAGAGTGCTCGTTTAAAAGGTATAGTTAAAATGTGAAAACTTATACTAAGAATTTGTAAAAAAAAAGAGTTTGTTTAAAACTAACTAGGTTAGGTTAGGTTAGGTTAGAAGGTCGATCCCAAGGAGGATCCCACTTGGACAGCTTAAGACGCCGATCCGTTGTGATACCTACAAAACTCCTGTAATCTGGATCAAAAGACCCTTATAAGTCGACGAAACGCTTTGGGCTTGCAACAAACTTTTTAAGGCGGCCAATATCCATTTCGGCTAAGTATTCAGAAATTTCAATCTCAGCCTAGCGAAAGCCGGACATTGGAGGAGAAAGTGACGGGATGTTTCCACCTCGCCCTCCTCCATGCAGCTTTGGCAACTAGCATCGGGTAGTACTCTAAGCGGCGAGATGCACTTTTCTCAGGGCGAGGAGTTCCCCCGACGTCCTGCGCTCCACTCTTGGCCAAAAGGATCTCGCGGTCGCACAGGAGTTGGTCATCGACCAGCGTCTGCTGAGTGAGAACGCAAGACGTTAACGGAGATCCAACTCGATCCCATTCCGATGTGAGCGGGGCAAGGGTGCCCCCCTGACTAGCTCATCGGCCTTGCAGTTTCCAGCGATTCCGCTGTGACCAGGCACCCAAACGAGCCTGATGTTGAAATAGCCAGCTGCTATCTCAAGTGAGGACAGACACTCCTTGACTAGCTTTGATTGCACGGTTCGCGCGCTCAAA